ACAACAAAAACAGCTCGGCGAGCCAACCAACCTCAATAGTTAGCTTATAAAACACTTACAAAAGTTGCATTAATCAGTACTATTGGGAAGAGAGCTCAATTTTATATTAGCAGTTCAGTATTACACTACAAATTCATGATCACTAATTTTCTACTCTTGTGTAAAACAATAGATAAAAACATTTTAACAAAAGTGGAAAAGTTAGTAAATAAAGTAGTTAAATTTATGATGTTAAAAACTAGCCAAGTCTATTGTACCCCAAGAGGTGGTTTCACAATGCTCTGCACCACCGCTCCCTCCAACTTTCTTTTAGGGATTTTCTACAGTAACTAACAAAACCTCCCACTTACATATTCATATGAGAAAGCCTTCTTACCTGTTAACATAACTAAGAGCTACGTATGTCGGCTGTTGCAGTTCCTGTTTCTCTAGCACTCGTGGGTCAGTATCTGCAGGGGAGAAAGTTTAGAACTATTAATATTTGTACATTTTATATTTTCACACTAACTTACCAATAGACTTTCAAGTACAGAAAAAGCAAATTAGTTCATATGTTGAGATCAGATAAACAATGTCCAGTATTTAAAGAATGTAATTTTATTTCAATTGACACCAACTTGCCAGGAAATTGAAACAAAGAATAAAATATTTGAGATGCAATTTTGATAATAGTAAAAGATTTGATCTATTAAAATATTGCTGTTGGACCACCCAATACTATCGCAAGCCCACAACTTAGGAATAGATTAAGTTCAATGAACTCATATTTAAAAGACACACGTTGTGTTCAACTCAGACTCACAATAAATGTGCTATACTTAATTTAAAAAGACTACTGTATTAATGGCAATCTCACATGGTGTAACCGAGGGTTTGGTGCAAGCACAGAACAGTCTTAAATGACCTCAAGTCTACGGAACATGGAAGATGGAAGGCTAGCCCAGAAGTGCAATGGAATAATTAAGTCTTGAGTTGTGGTTTTTCAACCGGTGTGCCACGGCACAAGCAGCATGCCACAAAATTTTCAGAAAGCAGTGCAGCTTTACTTCAGCATCAAGGCTGCACCCGTGCTTTTCAATCCGCTCTGGGGTCTTGGTATCAATTAGTGAAGGCAGTATCCGCTGACACTTGGTGCCCCTATCGACTGTGCATGTGCAAGCCTCCAAAGTCGCACGTGCATAGACTTTTGATCCCGCGTATGTGTGGACATATGTCATGAAGCTGAAGTTTGGAGTGATACCTTTGCATTTGTTTTAGTTGACTATGGTTGAATATCTGATGATCTCTGACCATACTATGGTTGAATTCTGGCTGTTTGGAACAACATACTTCTGCAAGCTAGCATTTTCAACATGATATATACAAAAAATAACAGTAAGAATTGCTCGTCACTGGAGCAAAATTTGTGGATGGCCCTCTCATCAGAGCCTCCCTGGATCAGAAGGCTCTGCACACAATGGCTGGCCTAGTTTATCACTAATCCAGTAAACTGCAATTTACTCTACATTGTGTTTTATTCTGATCCATTGTTCATGGATAGTTAAGATATAGTTGAGTTGAGCAGATTTTGAAAATGTGTCAAAGATGGTATATTTTTGTTCGTGGATTTGAAACATTAATGCTTTAATTATTCTTTAGCTTGTTGTGTACAGTATGTGGCAAACCTCTCCAGCAAAGCCATGACCACAATAAATGCAAGGAAATGTGATATTTATGAGCAAACAATTCAGCTGAAAGAAGTGCTTTGGAATTGTTTGTCACATTGCATTGTGCCTTGATAATGAAAAGGTTGGGAACCACTGGTGTCGAGATTACAAAGGGATGAGCTGAGATAGGGATGAACTCAGGCAATATTAGTTATAGAAACAGAGTTACTGATGGCATGGATGCATGGGCTGAAACTCATCCTGGGGACAAATACAATACAAAGTTGGAAGCAGCATTGTTCAAATCAGTTATGAGGTCCAGGGTTGAATTGGTAGCTAACAAACAGAGTTTGTGGCAGGTAATGACGCTATAACTTTGGTCTTTCCAGTGTTTTATCAGAAGAAATTGCTGCTCATCAATAATAGATATTAAACAAGCAGTCTGACAAGTCAGGGACAGTGGAGGGATTGAAACAAATCGGTGGTGAGGTTGAGCTGGGTGCTGTCTGTACATGGAAGGTAACATCCTTTTTTTTGGATTACGCAACTCTGGGAAACCATGTAGATGAGACATTGGATGGGCTCCACATTAGATCCTTGGAGGATACCAATAGCAGCACTGCAAGAACAAGAAATGCCATGAGAGGGAGGGAGGGAGTAGGTAGATAAAACTAGACTAGCTGAGTGCACTTCCATTCAGTTGGATGATGATGGAGAGGTACTGGATGGGGATGGAGTGATCAACTTTGTTAAAGGCAGCAGTTGGACTGAAAAGGATAAGAATTGACACTTTACCTTTGTCACAGTCACAGAACATGTTAATTGTGACATTGGTAAGCACTGTTTCAGTACTATGACCGGGTGGAAGCCTTAATGAGTGAGATTCAAACATGCTACTGGGAAATATGAGCATGGAATTAGTAGTCGACAGCATATTCATGGATTTTGGAAAAGCAATGAACTTGGGGAAGATCGGCAATAGTTTGCAATGTCAGCAGGGTCAAGGGTTATTCTTTTAACAAGGACAATGATGATGGCAGATTTGAGGAAGGACAGGAAGACAGTATAGGCAGACACAATCTTTAACAATATAAGTTAACTTCTCATTTTGGCTACCATGTTGAGTGGGGGAAAAGGGTTAAGGATTTGATGGCAAGATGGACAAAATTGGCTTAACGGTAGGAGACAGAGAATGATGGCGGAGGGTTGCTTTTTGGACTGCAGACCTGTCACTAGTGGTGTTCCACAGGGATCGGTGCTGGGTCCACTTTTGTGTGTCATTTATATAAATTATTCGGTGAGAATATAGGAAACATGGTTATTACGTTTGTAGATGACACCAAGATTGGTGGATATAGTGGACAGTGAAGGTTACCTAAGATTACAAAGGGATCTTGATCAATTGGATCAATGGGCTGAAGAGTAGCAAATGGAGTTTGATTTGGATAAATGCAAGGTATTGCATTTTGGTAAAACAAACAAAGACTTATACAATTGAAAGTAGGGCCTTGGGCAGTGTTGTAGAACAGAGAGACCTAGGGATTCAGGTACATAATTCTTTGAAGTTTGCAACACATATAGATAGAGTGGCTAAGAAGGTGTTTAGCACGCTTGCCTTCATTGCTCAGACTTTTGAGTCTAGGACTTGAGATGTTATGCTGAGTTTGTACAGACATGGATGAGGCCTCTTCTGGAATACTGTGTCTAGTTCTAGTCTCCCTGTTATGGGAAGGATATTATTAAACTGGAGATGGTTCAGAGAGATTTACCAGGATGTTGCTGGGAATGGAGGGCTTGAGTTATAAGGCGAGGCTAGACAGCTGGGACATTTTTCACTGGAGTGTGGGAGGTTGAGAGGTGACCTTACAGAGGTTTATAAAATCACGACAGGTACAGATAAGTTGAATGGCAGATATCTTTTCCCGAGGGTGGGGAATTTGAAGACTAGGGGGCATATTTTTAAGGTGACAGGAGAAAGATTTTAAAGAGACATAGGGGCATTTTTTTAAAAACAAAGAATGGTTCATGTGTGGAATGAACTTCCAGAGGAAGTGGAAGATGTGGATACAGCTACAACATTTAAAAGGCATTTAGTAAGTACATGAATGACAAATGTTTGGAGGGATATGGGCCAAGCACTAACAGATGGGCTTATTAGTTTGGGATTGTGGCTGGTTGAACTGACGGGTCTGTTTCTGTGCTGTATGACTCTATGAACTCAGAGAGATTCAGAAAAAAGATGCACCTTCAAGGCTTGAGGAAGAAGGAACCTTTGAAGGTAGTTTCACTTTATGGGCTGTAAGGGAAGGAAACAGCAGAGATAAATGAATAGACAGCTTCAGTCTTAGTAACAAAGAAGCTCATGAGCCCTTTGCACTTGGTGTTGGAGTTGAGGGGGCAGAGCAAGGAGGCTGGGGATTAAAAAGATCATTTATATTGAAAAATTCTGATAAATTCAATATCTGGACTAATTAACTATGCAAAAGGGATAAGACGTATTAATGGTGAGCTGGATTTAAACCAAAGGCCTTGTGAAGTGCAGTTCTAGGCTGGGCTCTAGGTTGCTAATTTCTTCTCTGCCATCACATCTTCATTGGAACTATGCTGAAAAACTCCATGTCTCTGCAGACTGATAAGTAACAGCAGCAAAATGGAAGCAGCTCCACAATTCCTGGACTACATGCGTTAATACGCCCTAAATCCTACATGAAAAGCAGCAGATATATCCCTTCCTGTACTGAAGCCGATCTACCCAGATTGATTTTAATGCAGATATTTTAACATCCTTTCCAATGTACTGCTGTTCACCTTACTGTAAAGACAGCCCTAAAATGAACAGGTCCCAAGTTTTGAGAATTGTCTCAATTTATTTTAAAATGTCATTACTAACAATTTTCAGCCATCACCAAATGTATTTACTTTAACTTCTCAAAAAAAACACAAATCAGTCTCACTAGCAAATTACTTTTGTATGGAATATTGCCCTTACTTACATTTAAACTGTGAAGATTTGTTTTGCTGAACAGTTTCTGTAACAATGTCCGTCACTTCCAGAAAGGTCGGTAATTTGAAATTCTGATTAGCTCGTTACAGAATTAGATTGAGGCTAACTATAAAAGGTCGGCCCAGGAGTGGAGTTTAGCACAAGGCTCTGGTCAGACTACATTTGGAATAGTGTGAGCAGTTTTGGGCCGCATATCTAAGAAAGGATGTACTGGCACTGGAGAAGGTCCACAGCAGGTTTACGATAATGATTCCAGGATAATGGGCTTGTCATAGGAGGTGCGGTTGAAGACTCTGGGTCTATACTCAATGGAGTTTAGAAGGATGAGGAGGAGTCTGATTGAAAATTACAGAATACTGAGAGGCATGGATATAGTATACATGATACTTCCCCTAGTAGGAGAGACTAGAACACGATGGCACAGCCGCAGAGTGAAGGGATAACCCTTTAGAATTGAGATGAGGAGGAAGTTCTTCAGTCAGAGGGTATCCACAGAGATAATCTGTGGAACTCATTGCTGCAGACGGCTATGGAGGCCAAGTCATTCAGCGTATTTAAGTCAGAGATGAATAGGTTCTTGATTAGTAAGGGGATCTAGGGCTAAGGGGAGAAGGCAGGAGAATGAAACTGAGAAACATATCAGCCATGATGAAATGGCAGAGCATTCAATGGGCTGAATGGCCTAATTCTGCTCCTATATCTTATGAACTGTTCAGGGACAAAGATCAGCATAGGGATCATGCACGAATTTAAACATACGTGCATAGAGTTCTCTTCATCAAAATGTCTTTGTAGCAAC